GATGAATATTGGAATGAATTTTAGCCAGCATTTGAAGTTATTTAGATTTCTGTTGCATTAAAAATTATTTAAAAGCTCATAGAAATATTATTTTGAAATGCAAACATTTTAAGTGCCAAATTAAAAGTATTTAAAGGTATTGTCATTGATGATAGATTAATTGACTTGTCAAGGAACAAACCAAGACTTCAGTACATAAACAATATATTTTTTATTCTGGGGGGGTGAACATTGTTATAATGGTGATATAATCAAATAAATAACAAAGAATCTGCAAGTGAAACATATTTTACCATTTCTTGAATTTAGATATTTTTCCGAATATTCCAAGCATTTAAAAGAAATAATTTTACATATTTTGTAACTGTGAATGTATTCGTAGTTCGGAAGTTCTGATATCTGCAGAAACAATATTTCGTCTATGACTTAGGTGGCTTAGTTAAGTTAAGAAATAAATTTTTCCTTTAATATTAACAAATGATTATATATTAATAAGAAATTGGTACATTTGTAATTCCCCCCAAAAATTCTTTAACGCTTAAAAGACGGGTGACCTAAGAATCGGCCAGAGCTGATGTGTCTCAGAAAGACGGCTGTGGCCGAAATATCGGCCAGAGATTTCCTCCCCCCCCCCCAATCTTTGAGGGTGCGGAGATAGTCATTGTCCAAATAACCTCCCTTGCCAATTATGGGAGATGACCTTCGCGCGTCCCAACTGTGGGGGTTCGTAAATTCCCTTTCGTTTCCCTCAGCAGTGAAATCTTAGCTCGGGGCAAAATCTTTCAGTTGTGTCAAAGAATATTTGTTCTTCCTATATGTTCTTTGGTTGCGTTTTGCGTGATTTATTTGCTCTCTAGAACTCTGCACTAATACTTGGCTGTGCTTTACTTTCGCTATGTATAGAAGAAAAAAGGCTTAACTCAAGAAGAAATCGAGAAATTGCTTCAAGATCTTGAAAATGAAGCTTTTGGTAACAGTGATTCCGAATGCGAAATTGATAATGATGAAGGAAAAGAGGTGTCTTCCTTTACGGAATTTCAGTCTGTTTCGGAAGATGTTGCAGATAAAGGAAAAAATATTAATGAATTTCATCTGGAAGACATAGATATAAATTGGGTTGATCCTGATATTTCGATGAAAACGGATACCTATTCATTTAAAGGAATCAACACATTAAAAGGAAATGCTACAGAATGCAATAAGGAAATTGATTTTTTCGAATGCATATTTCAAATGCATTTACGCTTTTATAACATTCAAAACAAATAAATATGCCAAGCAGTTTTTCAAGTTAACTGAAAGAGTTTCTAAAAAAGCTCATTGTGCGAAATGGAAAAATGTGAGTGCATCGGAGCTAAGGAAATTTTTAGCTCTGCTTATGGAGCACATCGATAAAGATAGCTTAAAAGACTACTGGTCAACTGATGAGATGATCAAAATCCCATTTTTTTGAAAAGCCATGGCAAGAGATCGATATCTAAACATTCTTCAATTTCTTTACTTTTCTGATAATAAATTAGCACCGAATAAAGAAGATCCCGAGTACGACCGCATGTGGAAGATTCGAAATGTCTTTGAAATATTAAATTCTCGCTTCAAAGAAATATATGACCCTACAGAAGAACTTGCGGTTGATGAAGTTATCGTTGCTTTTAAAGGTCGAGTAGTCTTTCGGCAGTACATCCCGAAAAAGCGAAAACGTTTCGGTATTAAAGTCTACAAACTTGCAGATAAAAATAGGTATACGTTCAACATGCGTGTGTATCTGGGGAAGGATAAGGTTTTAGGCGATGGAGAAAAATGTTCTGCACATCGAACTGTCACTGGACTTGTTGAATGTGTTAAAGGAAAAGGACATAAACATTTTATGTATAATTTCTTTTCACCCCCACAATTGTTTCTTGAACTTCACCGTAAGTATAAAATAAACAGCTGTAGTACCGTTAGGTCAAATCGAAAATATTATCCGAAGATTCTGGCCTCTCCACGAATGAAAAAAGGTGAATGCAGAGAATTATATTCACAGCGTATGGTAACTACGTGCTAGAAGGATAAGCGAGAGGATTTTATGCTGAGCAACATGCATAATCCATCCAAAGAAATAGAAACTGGATCCGAAAAGCCAGATGTAATAGCTTGTTACAACGCTAATATGGGTTATGTAGATCTCAGCGACAGAATGGCTAATAGCTACACATTTGGGCGGAAAACTCTGAAGTGGACAAAAAAATTATTTTTCCTCTTATTAGACCTGTCTATTTTGAATGCTTTCATTTTGTTCAAAATGAAAAACCCTGGGATAAAACATAAAAATTTTCGACAGAATTTAATTTATCAAATGGTTCAGAGAAGTTTTGCTGAAGAACCAAAGGTAATGTCCTCGCCTAGAACTTCACAATCCGTTAAACGGAAACTTTCAACGAACAACCTCGACCAGCACTGGCCATTTCAAACTAAAGTTCAGAGACGTTGCGTAGTTTGTTCTAAAAACGGAATTAGGAAAAGAACTTCAGTTTCCTGCAAGAAATGTGACATTGGACTATGTATAAATTGTTTTGAAATTTATCACACTAGTAGACTTGAGACAGATATACAAATTTAATTCGAGAGTAGCTATCATATGAAATATATAAATTTGAAACAAACAAAAACAGAAAAAAAAAGGCCTATTTTTAGGCTGAAATTTGAAAATAAGATTCATTTATATCCAGTCAACCTATACACCTGCACACATACATTATATATATATATTTACATACATATATATATATATATACTTACATATAGACATATACATACATATGTATATGTAAATATGTACATATATGCATATATATATGCGTAAGTATACATATGTATAATGCACTTATATGTATATATAATATATACATATATATATATATACATATAAGTACATATACATACATATATAATGTATATATACATACATATATGCGCGTGTAATACATATACAGACACACGTACGGTTATAACGTACATATTACAGGCGTATGTATATACCAAACACGCATACTGATATATATATATATATATATATATAATCTATCAGCGGTCGAGTGGTTAACATCACTGAACACTGGCAGTTCGACTCGAACCTCAACAAACGGGCTGGCTACATGCCTGGTTTCCTCTACTGTAGCCCACAAACCAGTTTCCTTAGAGTGGGGCCCACTAGCGGCCGAGCGGTAAAGACGTTGAACACTGGTAGTTCGGTCCGAGGTTCGAATCCCGCGAACGGGCTGGCTGCATGGGAGTTTTACTCGTTTTCCCCATGTGTAACGTGCATTCTAGCCAGTTTCCCTTAGAAGGTCTTCCACGAAAGGCATCCTTCCCTTTAGGCAGACAGCCCTCGTGTCTTTGCGATAACTGAATAATCCCTTAGAATGTAATCCACGAAGGCATTCCCTTCCCTCCTGTGTGCTTTGCCATCTTCACGTAACCTCACTATACTAATATGCTTAAGCGTATGGTATATACATATGTAAATGAGGGTATGAGTGCATATACTTGAAAATCACAGATTTAAAATCAAATATTATATTAATTTATGTGTTTCTTTCGCATTCGGCATAGAAGTTTTATTCAAAAATACGAAAGAGACGAAACGCGATAATATTCCAACTACTGGTTATTTTATGGAAAGAGTAATTCCGCTTACAAAGTCAAGACTTTCTGTGAGTTCAGCAGTAATTACTCTTATATATTTTGTTTCTATATTTCTTTTATTATAAATATTTGCAAATCCAAAATGTGGCAAGAAAGCAAAATGTGGAAAATGTATTAAATTACAGTTTTACAGCATTTACTAAAATTTAACTTTTAAAAAATCTCTCATTAAATTAGCATTTACTCTTCGTTTCTTAGATGATCAAAATGAATATTAATTAAAATATAGATACATATGTAGCCTTTTGTTTCAACTTCTTTCTTATAAGAAAATTAAACTCGTATTCCCGTACTGATAACAGTAATGGGATATCAGTGAAATCGATATACACTGGTGGTTCTCAAAGGTTCTATTCTCCGTTTGATCTAAATAAAGCATCTGCTATTTCTTTCACGTACACATGAGCAAGAAATACATGGGCCAGTTTCACGTAGAAAGTCCTTAACAAAGGCCCATCAGCGGCCGAGCTATAAAAGCCGCTGAACACTGATAGTTTATTCCGGGATTCGAGTCCCGGCGAAAGAGCTGGCTGCATAGGCGTTTTCGATGTTTTCCTCTTATGTAACGTGCATACAAGCCAGTTTCCCTTAAAACGTCTTCCATGAAGCGTCCCTCCCTGTCGGTGTAGTGCCTAATATTTTACCGAGAGACAGAATTAATTTTCGGTACAAGCCTTTTTTTTTAATTAAGAATAAAATTTTCATCATTATGGTAAAGTAATAACCAGAAATGCTATTTTAATAACATTTGTAGTTTCAGTATTCCTTACATTCTTGTGCATAATGAAAATAAATATGAGCTAAATTCCTGTAAAAGGGACCTGCATAACAGCGTCAATATTTTGACAGGATTATGTTCTGTTTATAACACTTTCAGTCTTTATACGCATATATAAATAAAAGTGGGAATATTTGGATTACGACCAAGGCACAAAGGGCTATCTGCCCAAGGGAGAAGGGGCTTCATGGAGGTCTTTTTTTAAAAGAAATTGGTTGGTACTCATGGTACACATAACGTCACATGCAACCAGCTAGTTCTCTCTAGTAACGAACTCTAGTAAGTCTGTATAAATAAATAAAGTTTATAAATCCGCTTAAAATTTTACATGTAGTATTAATTTCACCAATTTTTCAATGTCATTAAAAATGTACTTTTTCTTTATATTTCCTCTTTCTATTGTAATTTTTGTATTTAATATTGCTGTTTGAAACATGCAAAATGCAAGGCAGTGCAATGCAATGAAAATATAATCAATAAAATCTGTTTTTATAGTAAAGGGAAAACAATTAAAAAAAAAAAGCACGCTAAAGTATAAAAAAAGCTGCTATCACAAAACTGCAAGAAAGAACAATGAACAATAATGTAGTTGAAAGATGAAATAACTTACCATACAATGGGGGGGATCAATAAATTAAACTGAATAAGAATACTAATGAAAAATGTAAACGAAACTAATATAAGAAAAATATAAAGGGATTTATTTAATATATAAATATAAGCTGTTACACAATGCTTTTAAACAAATGAAAGCGAACTGCCGATTTATACGAGAAAAAAATAGTTAAACATCATTTTCGTGCATAAATTAAAAATGTTAATTAGTACATGTATTTCTAAACTAAATTCAGTTTGGAAACAAATAAAAACCGATTAGACTATGGACTGATTATAGGCATGCATTTGTTTGCTAAGGCGTATTTTTCATTGTGACGCAATGTCAAAAGTTAATATTCCAACATACGACAATTATTTAGCTACGAAATCTCACCATCATATGTTTTTCTAGTTTAGGGAAAAGAAACAGCAGAAAAGAGAAGAAATTCAACAAATTCCTTCGTATTATTCCCTAGTCTCTTATCTGAAAACTAACAAAGGCGACCCCCAAGGGCGACCTAGAGGAAAAGTTGCAAACGAGTAGTAGTTTCCCTTTACAATGGAAGCTAAAAGGGGGTGGAAATGCATTTGGATTTCCCGTCTTTTTAAGTGAAACCTTTCCAAACTCCCCAGTCTCTTAAAGGTTAATTGACTCAGTTCATCAGAAACATTGTCATGCTGGAACTCAAATGCTTCAATCTATTTTAAGAGAAAGATTCTGGATACTAAAACAACGTAAAACTGTGCGTAATGTGTTAACCTTTAAGAGACTGGGGAGTTTGGAAAGGTTTCACTTAAAAAGACGGGAAATCCAAATGCATTTCCACCCCCTTTTAGCTTCCATTGTAAATGGAAACTACTACTCGTTTGCAACTTTTCCTCTAGGTCGCCCTTGGGGGTCGCCTTTGTTAGTTTTCAGATAGAGACTAGGAATAATACGAAGGAATTTGTTGAATTTTCTTCTCTTTTCTGCTGTTTCTTTTCCCTAAACTAAAAACATATGATGGGGAGATTTCGTAGCTAAATAATTGTCGTATGTTGGAATATTAACTTTGACATTGCGTCACAATGAAAATACGCCTTAGCAACAAATGCATGCCTATAATCAGTCCATATCTAATCGGTTTTATTTGTTTCCAAACTGAATTTAGTTTAGAAATACATGTACTAATTAACATTTTTAATTTATGCACGAAAATGATGTTTAACTATTTTTTTCTCGTATAAATCGGCAGGTCGCTTTCATTTGTTTAAAAGCATTGTGTAACAGCTTATTTATATATTAATAAATCCCTTTATATTTTCTTATATTAGTTTCGTTTACATTTTTCATTAGTATTCTTATTCAGTTTAATTTATTGATCCCCCCATTGTATGGTAAGTTATTTCATCTTTTTTCAACTACATTATTGTTCATTGTTCTTTCTTGCAGTTTTGTGATAGCAGCTTTTTTTATACTTTAGCGTGCTTTTTTTTTTTTAATTGTTTCCCTTTACTATAAAAAACAGATTTATTGATTATATTTTCATTGCATTGCACTGCCTTGCATTTTGCATGTTTCAAACAGCAATATTAAATACAAAATTACAATAGAAAGAGGAATATAAAGAAAAAGTACATTTTAATGACATTGAAAATTGGTGAAATTAATACTAAGTAAACTTTTAAGCGGATTTATAAACTTTATTTATTTATACAGACTTACTAGAGTTCGTTACTAGAGAGAACTAGCTGGTTGCATTGACGTTATGTGTACCATGAGTACCAACCAATTTCTTTTAAAAAGACCTCCATGAAGCCCCTTCTCCCTTGGGCAGATAGCCCTTTGTGCCTTGGGTCGTAATCCAAATATTCCCACTTTTATTTATATATGCGTAAAAGACTGAAAGTGTTATAAACAGAACATAATCCTGTCAAAATATGACGCTGTTATGCAGGTCCCTTTTACAGGAATTTAGCTCATATTTTCATTATGCACAAGAATG